AAGGTTTTCAAGCATATGCTTTTAAAATTCCTAATGGTTCTATTATTGACGCAATCAGTGAAATTTCATTGAGTGTTATCTCTCAACAAACGGTAGCACGGTACAAAGATTATGCTTAGAAAACGGGAATATGTTGACTGCAGTTGACATCTCATTACAGCCACATCTTATTACATATACAGCAAGTCTTTCGTTCCGGATTAAAAATTTCCACGTCCACATGTATTCGTACTCAAATCGACTTTGGCCGTCCACACGTATGATTCACTCTCAGTTCGTCAATCAATCAATCAATCAATCTTGCTTTATTTCACACTATTTAACAACGATTTAAGGCATTTACACAAGTTTACGTAAGTAGGAGAACAAAGTAGCTGATAAATAATCATTAAGCTAAAAGACATTAAATTCATTTGTTTACAGTGTCCAAAGTAGCAATAGCTTTCTTGTTGGACACCGTTATGTTCAGATAATTGGCAGCAGCAAGAGAGAAAATAAAATCTCAAATGAGTGATATCAGTGATAGAACATATAAGCAAGGCTAAGATCAGATTTGATTGATGACTGTTCAGACTGTTTCACTGACAAAATTATCCTACCAAGCACTATTTCGCTCCTTCAACTTGTTAACGACGTCCAATTCGTCCGTCCGACATGGAACGGAAGCTCTAAATTATCAAGCCGCCGTTTGGCATGGTTGAAGTGTGCAGTAACCATTGCTAGGTTTAACTGCACACACGTTGGTAGGACTTGAAACTGATGAATCCAAGGCAGCAAAGAAGCGATGACTGACATTGCGCTTAGGACTGTCTTGAATATTCGCGGCAAAGAACTGGGCGCGATCCTGTGACTTCACTGGATTAAAAAACATCCGGATTTACAATTAGCGTCCACGTTGTTCCGGATTCATAGAGGGTGTAAATGGGGTTAGCCGTTAGCCGTAAATCGGCCAAAAATCTAGCCATTAGGCGTAAAAATTGAAGAAAAATTACCATAAGCTGTAAAAAAAATGAATGTCCAAGGTCTCGTCTGAAGGCGTATTAATAATGTATCTTGAATTTAATGATATTACGGTCTCTGTAGGGTCTTGTAGAGCGCGAGAAAAGCCGATACTCTCATTATTCATCAAACCGGAAGTGTTGGAAGTGTCGAACGGTGTCGCAGCACGAGTTGACAGACGTAGTAAAGAATTTACACGCAGTTTCTTCGTTTAAGCACGAGACCTTTGATGCTCACCAATGTACTACAGACTCCGGTAAAATATCAAAGGATTCATTAAGGTAGCAGGAAAATGGTGCAGAAAACATGCGGAATTGTTCAACTTACAACCTGAAGTGTTGAAAGCGCGAAATTTGGCAGAGGTATAGAGGTCAATACCCTGAGCAACCCCGGATAGGACGTCACGCCCCAAACTGAATACTTCTAGTTTTATAGCCATGAAATCAATTATCCTTAAAACAGCAAAAACACAGTCTTAAAGATAAAAGAACGGGTCCGAAATTTATAAGAGCGATAATGTACAGTATAGCGCACAGCACTATTCATAGAACCACGCCCAATGAAGGATACTTCCAGTGTTTTTAATGAGGAATACATTATAATAAAAATCGATAAATTATGCACTGTTTATTAAGCTTGTAAATTATTTAGCTCTTGCATATGGATAAGTGTTAATGTTATAAACAATTTTAGATAGGACGCCACGACCCTTTTCAAATAATTCCAGTTATACAGCCTTGGAATCGGTCAGAAAAAGAGCACTTTTAGGATGGAATCAAAAGCTTTAAGACGGAATCCATCAGGAAATTGAGTGATTTTAAATTTCAGTGGCCAAAAACCTTGTACCAGAATAATTTAAACAAGACGCTGTGGGACAGTATATTTGGGCGTGGTTGTACTACGTGTATGTGAAGTTTGTTATGTGTATGAGGGATATGTGGGTAGTGCGGTGGTATAGTATATTTGAGGGGTTATTTGAAATGCGTAAATTAGTAGGCGTGGAATTATATTGGAAGTTGATTGGTAAGATAATGGGTGTAGTTTGTCAGGTAGTTGCTGGGTTTCTACGTGGGGTTGTTTTTATTGGATGTTGGTAATAGAGTCATTTTCTGCTAATACTGGCACTGAAGTGTTGATAGAAAATGTCTGTATTAAGTGACATGTTTTACAAACATAATGTATCCATCAAATGAAGACTGCACACTGAAAAAATTGTGACACGAATATTTACTTTTGCCAAATAAAAATGTGAACTGATCTCTTATAAAGAAATCGATTATAAACACAACATATATGACAGGGACCTTTTCTTATTTAATTTTTATACTGTTCAATGCAAAAATCTATACCCCGATCTGCCTGTTTTCTTTTCTCCTTGTAACTAAATGTTTCTTTTTAAGAGGTTCCGCCTCACAATACTCAAATGAACTATACCTGTGTTTCCTCGCAATCTTTTCCTTTCACTGCTTTCAGTTTAGCATGAGCATAATATAAAGTGTATTTCATATTGTAGTCTTTGACAATTTAACTTACTTTGTGTAATTTTACAAATTTCTTCAACTTAAATGACTGTATGCCTTTGATACTTTTAACAAGTCTTATTTCACCTAATTAACTGTCATCATATCCCACCAGAATCTACTCTACTTCTCTACTCTACTTACTCTACTTCTTTGCTAAACTACACAGCTTATACAGTATGTTCCAATCCACGACAAAAATTCTGTCACTTCATGACAATGTTTTGAAATGTACATCTTCAACGCAGATTTCCTCTCAGCCATATTGCGACATAGGACATCATTGCTTACGGCGGAAACAGTAAGGTCAATCTCAGCTCCACTGATACTCTCAATTTCAGGAAGATCAACTGGCGTTATATGTCTCCATTACTAGCAAGGGCAGATAAAGTTCCTGAAGTCCAGTAGCCACATGGATTAATAACAGAGTAACACATTGCATAAACTTCTATAGCACAGCACTGCTTACAAGAACAGTAGTTATATAATGATGCCATGTTACTCACTCACTTGGTACTTTTCCCCTGTCATTTTTCAATTATTTCCCTCATTCGACCCCAAATTTCAATGACGGAATTTAGACAAAGAAATTTTTGTACTTTTTTCAAAAAATTTCTGACTTTATCTTCTGTCATTGTTCAATTAAATTCTGTCTTACGTCATAGACTTTTTTCTGGTTATTTTCTATCATTGACTTTTTTTTCTGATTAAATACGTCATTAGCTGATTAAGTACCGTTATCAACTAATTTCTGGTAAAACCTGTTTTACTAAGGTTGAAGTGGAAAAATAAATTGATTTAAAGAAATTAATATAATAATAAAACACAATGATTAGCAAGGTTATTCCAGATTACGCAAAGGATTTTAAGAAAGAATATTTATTTGTTTTACGTGTCAATGATAAAATAAAATATTTTATTGATAATATCAAAGAAGCAACTTGTGGTTTATTTAATAATCCAAAAGTCGATGAAATAAAAAAATTAATTGAAAAATTTTATTATGAAATAAATACAAGTAATTTTAAAGATTTAAGAAATTTTGAGATTAAAAGTGATGATATTTTAAACTTAGTTGAGTTTAAAAAAATTTTAAATGATTTTATAAGAATTATTAATTATCGCAGAAGATATTATCAAAATTTTGTTAATCCTTTTCCTGGTTTTGAAAATATTTATCATGATTTTGAATTATTTTGTAGTAAGTTTAAAATAAATTACGAAGATTATGAATATTTGAAATGTATTGATTATTATGATTTTGATTTTGATTTTGATTTTGATTTTGATTTTAATTGTTAAATTTAAACTCATAACATTTTTTTTGTTATGAGTTTTTTTAATATGATTATAATATTAAATGGAAGAGATAATAAAGTTTTTAAAAGATGAAGGTTGTGAATTTGTGGTTGGATGTAGAGAGAAAGAAAGAAGAAATATATAGAAGGGAACAAAAGTTTGAAAAAGAATTAGGATTAGTATAAACAAATAATAAAAATGGAATCAAGAGAAACTACTCCTACAAAAGAGGATTTGGATTTTATAGTTGATGATGGTTATAGACAAGATGTGGACCCAGATTATGTTCCAAACGATAAGTATCTTGTTAGTGGAAAAGAGTTTAAAAAACTAACCAGAAATGCTAAAAAACTCGGTGCTGAATCGCTTGATTATTCAACACGAAAAAATAACAAATACATGGTCACTCTTCCAAGTGGAAAAAAAGTTCATTTTGGATCGACAAAATATGCGGATTATCTTACTCACAAAGACAAAGATAGAAGAGATAAATATCTTGCTCGAGCTACAAAGATTAAGAATAAACAAGGAGAATTTACTCATAATAATCCAGAATCGGCTAACTATTGGTCAACAAAACTTCTTTGGTAGTAAATTGGTTTAAGAATTAAAAGAATTTTTAAAAATGACGCGCAAAAAAGTTTCAATTGACGGAAAGAAATATTATATTCATCCTATTTTTACTAATTATGCCGCTTCAAAAGACGGTGAAATTTTAAATGTAAAAACTGGAAGAATTTAAAAAAAAAATTTGACTGATATGGGATACTATCAGTTTAAAGTTAATGATAAAAAATTGATTAAACCAAAGAATTACTATATACACAGGTTTGAATGGGAATGTGTGAGAGGTGTTATTCCAGAAGGATTTGTTATTGATCATATTGATTCTGTTAGAACAAATAATAAAATTTACAATTTACAATTACTAACTTTGGTGGAAAATATTAGAAAAGGAAATAGCAAACCTATATTATCATTTAATATCAAAAATAACGAACAAAAAAAATATGAAAGTATTACTTCTGCTTCTCTCGAATTAGATATTTCCTTTTCAATTATTTCTAATATTTGTAGAAAAGTAAAATATTATAAAACAGTGATTTCCAAAAAAGATGGGGATAGATACAAATTTGAATTTTTAGAAAAAAATGTTTAAAGATTAAATAATTATAATCAAAAATGCAGTTGTCCAGCTACGAAAATCTTACCCAAGACAATATTATCTTTAAAGAAGCCAAAGAATTTAAAGTCAAAGATAGTAAGATCAAATACAAACGTATTCCAATTGAAATCAAATATTCGAATGGAAAGAAAGGAGCTTTAGTAATTGAATCTCCAGTTCTTTTCTCTTTTGGAGTAAGTGAGAAGAAAAATCAAGAAACAGGTAAGTTAGTTGGTTATAGTATACCAGTATGTCTTTGGAGTAAAGATAGTGTCCCAAATTCTAAAGAACTATCATTTTTTGAAACCCTAAACAATGTTGTTTCAATGTGTCAAAATCATTTAGAGAGTGAATACGGTGCAGATCTAGCATCAACTCTATCTTCACCATTTTATTACAAACAGATGGAATATACAGATAAGAAAGGAAAAAAGAAAACAAAAGTTGATGAATCATCCGCACCAGTTCTCTACGCAAAACTTATTTACTCAGAAAAATCAAAGAAAATTTTATCTTTGTTTAAGGGAAAGGGTGGTAAAGATTTAAATCCTTTTAAATATATCGAACAGTACTGTAATGTTAAATTGGCTCTCATAATTGAAGGAATATTCATAAGTAAAACTGTAACATCTTTACAAATAAAAGTACATGAGTGCTATGTCAAACCACTCAAACCTAGAGAGTCTTTACTAACAATTGAAGAGGAAGAGGAAAAGGAAGAGAGTGAGAGTGAGGTTGATTATACAAAAGATGGTCTTGAAGCATTAATTGTAAAAGTTAATGATGAAGAGTAATAATAGGATTTATTTTTAATACGAAATTCGTATTAAAAATCAACCAAATCCTTAGAACTAACCCATGAGTTAAATTTATCAGGATATCCACTCCATTTTACTAATGCCATTTTTTTCTTATTATCCCTCCTTATAACTTTTTCTATTCTAAATGTTTGTTGTTTTGTTTTTTGTAATTCTTGGTTGTAAAAAGAACCCTTAATTTTTTCTCCCATCATATCAACAATGCTATACGTAACAGGTTTTGTAGGTAAAACTTTATCAATTACGAATATTTCTTCTGTCCAGTTTGGTGTGTAGCCTTTATCAAATACCTTCCTCTTATACTTAGAAATTCTAACACGATCACCAATTGATAACTTTGATTTACCAGGTTTTAAGTAAATCGAATCACCATACAAATTAGACCAAACTTTACTTTTATTTTTCTTTTTACTTGCTTCAACAGGAGTCATTTTTATACTAGAATGTCTAGCGTTATTGTAATCATCAACTAGTTTATCTATCTTATCCCAATAAATAGTGTTGTTATTTACAGTAAACATCTTCCACATTCTGTTTTTCATTGTTTTATTCCATCTCTCAACAACACTAGATTTCTCCTCGTTTTCAGTGTGATACAACTTGATACCCTTTCTTTTCAGAAAATCTTTAAAATGTTTGCTTATAAATTCGGAACCTTTATCAGTCCATAACATTTGAGGTTTACGTTTACTTTTGAATATGTCATCGAATGCTTTACTGACAGTTTCGGTTTTTTTATCTTTCAACCCCCTTATCCAACCATATTTGCTAAACACATCAATAACCATCAGCAGATATTTAATCCCTTTGTTCCACTTACTAAACTTTTGCATTTCAACTAAATCAGCAGCCCAGATATCATCAATTCCGTTTGAGACTACTGATCTCTTTTGAAAGTTTCGTGTGATTGGTTTGTGAAGTTCGTCGGCTAATTGTTGAGACCAATCACTACTCAACGCCGACTCGCGTTTTTTTGAATGCCAAGACCAAGTTTTTGTTTTGTATTAATCAAGAATCTAGCAGTTGAGCCCCACTTTGGCATTTCACCATATGGTATCTCATCCAATGATTGTACCATCTCTCTATCGCAATCACCTTTGTTTCTTCCCATGTCGTAACAAATATCGTGATAAGCTGCAATCTCATCGACTTTGTTATACGGTTTAACTTTCCACTCTGTCACTTTTCCGGTTTCAGGATTATAACTTAATTGTTTGTCTAGAGGATTGTAGGGACCCATATATTTGTACGAACCTGGAGTCCATCCTGCTTTTGGTTTTGGAAGTTTTCCAATCCATTTGTGAATATCTATTCCTTTCCCATCTAATTCTGGTCTATCAGTTTTATACTTTTTATTTGGTCTAACTTTTGTTGATAGTTCATCCATTGCTGTTCCAACAGAATCTTGAATAAATGGGGTGAGTTTATTAATCCCATAATTTACAGCTTTCTTCTGAAGATTTTTATTTCTCATTAACTCGCTTGCTCCATATCTTCCCATTTCAAATGCTTTCTTTCCCATCCAAGGTAAACCGTAATGAACAAATCCATCAACTGCTGTACCAACAACAGTATCGAAGACGCCCGCCCCTTCAGACGGGCTTACTAGTTTTTTGACTTCTTTTTAGTTTTTCTTTTTCCACTTCCAGTTTGAGAAGCTGTTCCAGTTTTCACGTATCTAACTTTTTTAATTCCACAAACTGCACAATGACAGAAGAATTGAGTGCGCCCACGTTTATCAGATTGGTAACCACTTGGCTCTGTGCAAGGAGTTACTCTTTTATCTTTAATGCAATAAGATTCTTTCATTTAATATAATGTTTAGATAAAATACATCTAATAAGTATGTCTACCAGATCTAATTTTGTCAAAAGTGAACTTCAAAAGATATATGATTTTTTAAACTTGAGTTATGAATATGTAGATCATTCTAGATTGGAAAACGATACTAAATTTATAAAAATATTTGAGTTGCTTATGGAAATAAGTGAGAAATCAAATACGCTTAACAAAGTTGTAAAAGGAAACTATCTATTCATATAATAAATGGAAGCCAAATTCTTTTCTGAGATAGAAAAAAAGATGGATGTTAAAACACTCAAGGATTTTGAGAAAGAAGTAAGGAGAAAAATAAATAATGAGTTTGATTCTCTTAGAAAGAAAAACGACGATCTTTCTAGAGTGCTAATGGCTGGTGAATGTGAGATGTGGGGAAAAATCAGAGATGAGGAGTATTCTTGGTTGAAAATAGATAGTGATAAAAAGAAGAAACTTTATCGTCTTATTGACATTTACTCAAAATTTAATGATATAGTTGATATTGTTAAAGATCTTAATACAAAAGTTGAAAGAATTAAATTACTAAAAAATGCGCCGGATGATGATGATGAAGATTAAAAAAATAATATTTAATAAATATTATTTTTATCCTCCAAAGTATGACTTTATAAAATCGCTGTTGTCATTATCAAAATGAGGGTTATGTATTACATCTAGAAAACTAGTACCTTGTTGTCGCTCGAATAAATAATATAAACACCAATAACCACAGAGAACAGTACTGCGATTTTGTATTTCATCTATCGAATAAACAATACGTTTTCCAGAAGTATTAAAATACTCTAATGCTTCGTTTGGCATTATCAAACCAAAAGGATCGAAATATTCGACTACCGAATCTATATTTCTATAACAAACCCAGTGTGTTCCAGGCCCTGTTATATCATCCAGATTAATTATTCCACATTCTTTTTTGATTTTGTTTGGTAGACCATCACGACTATATATTCCTCTGAAATTTTTAATACCAAGTCTTTTTAACCATTTCATGAGGTCAAAGTTGGATAGAGGTTTAATTACAAAATGGTGCCGAGAATGGTAAAGGGAGGGGGGTGTAGGGGGAACCGTAGGTTCCCCCACTACAAAATGGTGCCGAGAATGGGAATTGAGTTGAATGGGCTGTTTTTTCCTAATAGTAGACCCTTGCCTTTGGAATTTTTTTTTTTAACTCCCATTCCTATAGGGTTTTCCCATGTACCAATAAAGGGTGGTGAGCGATAAGGATAACCCTCTCCATGTGTGGGAGGAGGAGGAGGAGGATGAGGAACGTAGACGTTTGATATATTAGATGACCCACGTCTATCAACCTGAAGTCCCCCACCAAACATCTTAGATACTAAACTAATTGCCATTGGAATTCCAATAGAAGCAAGTGTACCTAAAAATCCTCCTTCTATCTGTTTACGAGTTGGTTTAATAACCAGTCTACCTCCTGTTTGATAAGCTTTGTTAATTTGATTTATTTGTGATTTGGTAAATTCTCTTACAAGAGGTGGTAGCATTGGGAAAAACTGTGGGGGAATTGTGATTCCTTTTCCAAATATTTTATTTAATCCAATTTCTCCGAGTGCGGTTGCAGCACCAGTTGCTAATGCGGGAACAACTTTTGAAACTCCTTTTACTGCGTAAGGAAGAACTTTTGCTCCGAGAGATGCGAGTGATGAAAATAAGTTTCCACCATGTTTCACAGATTTTCTAATTTGAGTTTTACTTATTTTTATATCCGTTCCTGTTCCATTTACAAGAGATTTTTTTATTTTATCAATTTGTCTTTTTGTCAACATTAACTCATCAGAACCTTGAAGATGAGAATGTTTTAACCGAAGAGTTAGTGGTGTTTGATTTATTATCGCAGAAGCCAGTTTTGACTTTTGTCCATCTGTAAGTGTTACTCCATATTCTATATAAGTAGTCATTTTTTATTATATTATTTACATAAAATTTAATCACATCACTTAATCTTTTTTTATTTGTTTTCTCTCAGTTGGTGGTTAAGTTTTTTAATTAGTTTGAATGTTCTAGGTGTGATATATTTAGATTTTATTTTTAAAATCTAAATATTATGTCATAGTGACCTTCTAGAAGGTTATTGTTTTAAATCACGAGATTATCGTGTGATTTTTTTCAACCAACCAAATGATTACACAGAATTTTCTACAACTTGTAGAAAATGTTGTGTAATTATAAAATTCTGTGTAATTATAAAATCTTGTGTAAAATTCTATGTAATTATAACAGTTCGTTTACAAATTTGATTATGTCTTACACTTTGAAACAGTTGGAAGGACGCAGGTATGTCTGAGATTAAGCACGAAGCAATAGTTTTCCTCCTTGCTGTTCTATTTCTGCCTCTCGCTCATGAAGCACCAGAGCGTAAATATTATAATCAGCGTTTGGATTAGCAGTTAATTCATAATGAAATGCGAGTTTTGTAACTCCATCTTTTAAATCCTCTTTTTGTTTTGTAGGATCAAAATAAACAAAAGGAAATAAATTTTCAAAAATTTGTTCTAGTGAGAAGTGTTCCACCTTGAAAGTCATTATTTGCATAAACATAACCCATTACTTCTCGAAACACTCTTGCTGGATCTGTAGCTGGTTTAAAGTGAATATCAGGGTATTCATTTCCATTTCCAACCTCAAGATAACAGCGAGAAATATTAGCGGGTGCATTAGCGTTAGCAGTTGTTAAAGCAAAAGTATTGTATAGGAATGGATTTGCTGTTTGAGAACCAATATTGGCTGTGTTAATCACAAAAACAAAGACATGGCGAGGTTTTGAGATAGCATTTGTAATTCTAAATGACCTGTTGGCTGTTGAGAGTTATTTGATCTCTCTACTACTTCATTAAGATACTTCCATTTGTAGGGTTTGAGATAATTTTTCAGGTATATTTCTTGTCCGTTTTTGTTAAATGTTATTCTTGGAACAAATAGATGAAATCTTGTTAGTATAACTCTACAGTCTGCTCCACCAGCTCGCCAGATAAGATTACCATCTGATTCTAGTTCAATATTTAATTCAATTTTTGTATTTGGAAGAAGTTTGTTTTCTAATGACTCAAAGAAAGAATATCTGTTGAGAGGAATTTCACATCGCACTGTTGCTGAGTCACCTAGTAATGCTTTTCTCACAG